TACATGGCAGGGATCCTCTCATGATGCTTGACAAAATATGAACACTGAGCTACAGCTAATTCACTCATTAACAGGTTCAAACAAGCATAGCAAAAGTGCAAATGATAACAGGTTTCAGACTTAGTGAAATTAACACAAGTCAGGAATTTATCATCAGGAAGCAATGTTTAGAGCACGATAACTACATGCAACAGGAACATATCATGGCAAAGATAGGCATGGCATGAAGCTACTCAAAGCACATAACAAAAGTCCCTTAGTGATCTTGGGCCAAAAGGGATCAGAAAATACAATTGCAAGCATGTGAACATAGCAAAAACATAAACAGATTCAGACTTAGTGAAAAACTGGAGCATGCAAAACAGATAACGACTAGGCATGTTTACGAGCTCGATGCACTCACCACGAGGCATTGCATGATAAACTAAGCATACACCCAGCAAATAGACATGGCATAGAAGCATAGACATGGCAAGAATAACAACATAGCATGCACGGATCAACAACAACAAGCTTGGCAAAATTGCAAAACATGTTAACAATCTGCCAGGAACATTTTATAGCAAAAGTAGAGCTCGATTGACTCAAGCTAGGGTTCTCCATAATTGCAAGCAAAGACATGGATGGATAGAGCATCACAATATTAACAAAACATCCTTACTGATCATCCTCAAAAGAGGTACGGATCACTAGGAAACAACATGAACATATGACATAAAAACAATATCAGGACAAGGACTTAGTGAAATTCTAAGTCCCTGAAATCAGCATCATCGAGTAAGCTACTTTGCATGCTTGTGCTAGTCACCACAAAGATCACAAAAAATACATGGCATACACCCCTGGAAAGATGGCATGGCATTCTACAAAACAATGTAGAGCTCAGGATCATAACATGCACACATTAATCATGGCAAAAATGACAAAAGGCCATTTGCTGAAACAGATCTGACATAATCATCATATAGCCCTCTTCCAACAGCATTTCGGGCATCAAGATGAGCTCAAATGAAAATGATACAATGATATGAAATGATGTACTCGTCGAGACGAACATTTTGATATGCTACACACACGAATCGAAGCTACGGATGCAGAGTTATGGCATGTGGAAGAATGCAAAAATGCTAGGGTTAGGGACGAAAAAGTCAACCAAGAGGGGATGGATCTGGATCTCGCGGCACGCGAACCGAGGCGGCCGGAACAGTGCTCGCCGGAGACGCCTGAGGGCGCCGGAGTTGGGGGAGGTGGCCGGAGTTGCACCGGCATTGAGGAGGAGGACGGCGGGGCTACGGGTAAGGTGGCCGGAGCAGGGCGGTGCGGTCGGGCGCGGTGCGGCGCTCGCCGGCGCGGGACGGGGCGGCGGAGGCGACCGGCGGCTTCGGTGGCAGAGAGGCAGCGGAGAGGCGGCGCCGGCGTCGGGCGCGAGGAGGAAGAAGGCGGCGGGGCGCGCGGGACAGCTCGGGCCCGGTCGGGCGACGGGAGGGCCCGGCCTGGGCCTCGTGGGCCGGCGGGGCTGGGACGGCGATGCCGTCCCTCCCGGGACAGGTGGTGTCGCCTGGTTGGTCGGCGGCGGCGGGCGGACACGTCCGATCCGCTTCGGACGTGTTCGGCGGTGCGGGGAGCGGAGAGACTAGGGTTTCGGAAAGAAGATCCGGGAATTGGAAATGAGGGTCTATTTATAGAGGTAGAGGGAGCTAGGAAGCTCCAAATGAGGTGCGGTTTGCGGCCACATGATCGTGATCGAACGCTCTAGATAATGGAAGGGATTTAGGTGGGTTTTTGGGCCACTTTGGAGGGTGTTGGGCTGCAACACACACGAGGCCTTTTCGGTCCCTCGGTTAACCGTTGGAGTATCAAATGAAGTCCAAATGGTACGAAACTTGACAGGCGGTCTACCAGTAGTAAACCAAGGCCGCATGGCAAGTCTCGGTACAATTCGGAAACGTTTAACACCCGCACACGAAAAGAGGTAGAAAGGGACACCGAGTGACATAGGAGCGCCGGAATGCAAAACGGACAACAAACAAAATGCTCGAATGCATGAGACGAACACGTATGCAAATGCAATGCACATGATGACATGATATGAGATGCACGACAAAGACAAAACACATGGAGACAAAAACCCGACGCCGAGGAAATAAAATAACTTAGTGTCGGAAACGGCAAGAGTTGGAGTACAAATAAGGTAAATTGCATCCGGGGTGTTATATTGCGGAAATGCAATGATGGGTTTTGCGAGTAGGCAATGCGGAAATGGAGGGTAAGGTGGTGGACTATACATGGTGTCGCAGTTGGAAGCACGGTCCTTAAGTAGCCAAAACACCTTAGGAGACACAACTCACAACACAAACAAAATTGGGTTAAGTTGGGGTGGCGAAGTGTATGGTGGGTAAGCCTATGCGGAAGTGGTGGTGGTGGTTGATGAAGAAGAAACCGTGCCTAAGTAGCTGAAACACCTTAGGAGACTCAAGTCACTACTCAAACAACCTCAAATGCTATGGGGATCAAAATGGGTTAGGTTGCGGAAGTCGGTGGTGGTGTAGCGGATGATATGGTGGAAGGCCTAGGCAAAGATGCCAAAATTCCAAAATTTTGATGGGGTCAAAAGGTTGTGAAACCAAGGTGAGGTCCTCGGGCACGTTGATAGCTTCAAAACAAGCCAAAGAACACTCAAATCGGAGTTCGGAGTGAAAAGTTGTGACCAAAACGGTGAAGAAGGCTGATGGTGAAATTATGTGTAATGTTTCGGGTTAGGCCGGAAGTTCCGGGGGGGTGGCCGGAAGTTCCGGGGGTCGCGGAAAAAGTGCGGGGAGTCTGGGGTTTTTTGGGGTAAACTTTCTGCTTAGCCCAGAAGTTCCGGGGCTGGGACGGAAGTTCCGGGGGAGTCCGGAAGTTCTGGGGGTCGTGGAATTTCTTCCGGGACGAACCCTAAATTCCAGATCTGAGAACGGGGGCAGAAAAACTCGATTTCCCGAGGCAAAATTGAGACGATTTCGTGGATGAAAAGTGGGGAAACTTGGGGATATGCTAGATCCACTTGAAACCAAGCAAATCCATGAACCAAAATCAACAAAACATCATCCAAACCAACAAATCACAAAAAAATTGGGGCTATTTTTGGTGGGGATTTTCGGATTTAGGACGAAATCAAGCAAAAGAAGGCTAGAAAACAAAGAGGGGGGCTCCGAAATCGTGATCAACCTTGCTCATGATACCAACATGATGTAGGGTAGAACCCTAATGGCCCGATTTTTCACAAAAGGAGCGGATCCCGCGAATAACACGAAGAACACGGGGGAGAAAGGAGAGAAAACACAAGGGGAAACACTCAAGAACAAGTCCAATCACACATCCACTAGACAATCAAACACACAAGATCCACAAGGTACATGAACAACAAAGGGAAAGATACAAGGTAGACTTCATCTCCGTGAGGAGGTCTTGAGGGGGGCCACCCAAGAGGGGGTCTTGAATCCGCTTGGGAGGATCTTCTCCGAGGAGGCACGATCTCCGTGGAGAAGGTAACCAAGTGGATGAGCAAAGCTCTCACACAAACATGAGCTAATCCTTTGCTGACCCTAGAATGGAGGAGGGGGGTGAGTATATATAGTAGCAGCCACGAAGGGGTAAGTGAGGGGCGAATGGGTACATGGGCCTTGGCCCGAGTCTCTGCGCGCGGGTAGGGCCGAAAGTTCCGTGGACGGCCGGAAGGTCCGGGCGCCGGAGGTTCCGGGCGAAGGTCCGGGCGCCGGAGGTTCCGGGCGAAGGTCCGGGCAGGGTCCGGGCTATCCAGAGAGTTGGCACACTCTTGAACGGCTTCGGTGCAGCAGGGCCGGAAGCTCCGGAATGGCCAGAGGTTCCGGTGGCCGGAAGTTCCGGGCAGCGGCCGGAAGTTCCGGGCTTTCCAGAAACTTGTCCACGCTTCTTCTTCCTTCTCTTCCACGCTTCCCTCGCGGATGGTGTAGTTGTTCCTTGGCGCTTGCACTCCTCCTCGACATTCGTGAAGCTCCGACAATACCTATGCATGCACACGGGAGAAGTGTCAAGTAGTATACCATCCTCGAGAGGGTCAAGTGAACACGTGTAAAGAAGATGACTCACCTTTGTGTATGTGAAGTAGATGTCGCACGTGTCACTTACCGAATGAATTTTTGACATGGTGATGTTTGCATCAAGCTGGCTACACGGTTGTGCCATTGTCCACCCCATCCCACCCCTCGGTGTCGTCCGTCGCGATCGTCGAGCTCGTGCCGCCATCCACAAGCATCGCTCATCGTTGTCCCCGAGCTCCTACCATCATCCCTAAACTACCCCACCACCGAAGTCCGATATCACCATCGACGTCCCCGCTGAACTCCTTCCTCCTTCCTGTCGTTGGGGTCCGCCTCTCGACCTTCCCACCATTAGATCATCATGTTTCATGCGGTTCTCAAATTTTAGGGCAGTACATTATTTAAAGCAGAAGTCAGACTGGTGCTCAAAAACATTCTCTCTCCTGCTCTATAATGGTTTTTAGGGCACCGCGTTTTACATTGAAGAAGATGGTGTATGTCTGTGCTTGCAACGAAGTGTTGTCAAACCAAAGCACATGTACGCATCATCATAAAATGGTGTTGCCTGCTCTCTCAAAAAGAAAAAAAAGAAAAATTGGTGTTGCCTGCTTGAGACCAGAACACATGAGCCGATGAACTGGAAAGAGTTCTTTTTTTGGCGATAATAACTGTAAAGAGGTTGAAGCCACGTGCAACTAGTTCCAACCACTTTGGCACTTTTATCCTGTTAAAAACACAAGAATGACAGGCATCTACATTACTATATTTTTAGATTCTGTTTACAGTAATTCCTACGCTGTGGAATAATATTAGAATCGATCAACATAATCGATTTGAAAGCTTCCAAAAATTTACAAGCATGTATTTTGGAGTCCCACTGGGGAATACTCCTGGACTGAGGGTGGCATGCACCATGAACTTTTGCAGAAGGGATCACCGCAGTCAGCTGCTGGGCCTGCGTCGCCGGAGGTAGAGGAACAAAGCCGTGCACGCCGCTGCCGCGTAAGGGAACACAGTCCAGATGCCCTAAGGAAGCATAATTTGGATTAGTGGGATTACGGAGAAGGAGAAATGGAATTGTGGGGGGGTGGTGTTGGGGGAGTGGAACATGTACCACGGCAGCTGCAACGCTCGCGAGCGCCACAACGGGGCGTTCTCTGAGAAGAAATCCAATCGCTAACTGCAGTGAAACATCTTGAATGTCATGAGTAAGGATTGACAGGTTCTCATCCATTGATATGTGGCAAGTTCTTGTGATGATAAATCAAATGTCCGTACCAAAGTGGCCACTTGGTAACTTACAGAACGTAACAGACAACGGTTCTGAAACCAAATAATGGGGTCAATGTCACTTTACCTGGATAGGAAGAGTAAACAGACAGCCGCAACAAACTCCAGCGAAATAACAGTCTGCTGATACGCCCTGTTTATAGTTAGTTACCAATAATGTCAGTGACAAAGCATTGACCAGTATATTCGTTGAAAACTTGGCAGGAGAGTGAAGCCTGAATGACTAACTACTGCGCCTGCCAGAAATCCTGTCGGATTCCTTACGCCGATTGAAAACCGTTCAACTGCAGTAAAAGGAACAGATAATGATGACTTAAACTGCTAAAACAATTGTCTACATACACAGAAGGTGCATTTTGTGGAGTTCCAACATGCGCGCTGTTTACCCAAAGCTTAATAATGATTGTGAAACTGCTAGTTCAGATGCATACCAAAGCCAATCAGGTTCCCGTACTTTTGTATAGCACGAGATACAGTCAGGGCTTTATCCTTGCTAATTCCAAGCTACAAAAAAGAACTGTAATTAGATCTCACTATAATGCACAAAAGATTTATGTCAGTGATTGATAAATACTTGTCTAACTTTGCTGTATATGTCTTCAGATGCTCTTGTTTGTCTAAAAAGCTTACCAAGATAGAATGGTACCATATCGCTGATACAAACACCCCTGCACGAAAGGATAGTTTAAGACAATAATTTCTATTAGTCTGTTCTGTACTATCTTCTGACCAAATGGTCTATAAAGACAGAGGACGGGCATACCAGTAAACCCACAACACCGTAGAAATTATATAAGATGCATTCGTCGAGAACGAGTTAACAAGAGATTGCCAAGTTCCATCCAGACAAAGGGTGCGTGCTAACGAGATCCCGACCTGCAGCATGATGAAGTCAATACAAATTCTTCATTGTTGATAATTGTATTGACTTCATCATGCTGCGGATGGCTCCCGTCCCCCCTCGCCCCCCTCTCCCTTCCGGCGTCCCAGCCCCACCCACCGCCTCCACCCCTCCCCTGCCTCCTACGACGGCCACCTTTCATGACCCTCTCCGACGGCATGACTCCCCCACCGCCAAAGCCTTGCGGGTCGCGCTCGGCGTCGGCGACGCTATGGGTGACGACTTCCAAGTGCAAGTTTGGCGGTGCCTTTCCAAGCATATCAATCCGTGTCGCCATGAACCCCCATGCTTCCTCTCTGTGCATGTCCACCATTCTTCGCTCGTCCTTGACGAAGAGCTGGTGGCCGTCCTCATGCAAGCCTGCCTGGGCGGCAACGCCCCCGCTTTCCAGGTGACTCGTCTCCATGATCAACTCTTTCGCATCTCTGTATCCGATATGCGCATCGTTCAAGCTTTCATTGCCGAGCCCATCCTCGTCGCCACAAGTCACTCCATCCAGTTTCTCCCTTTTCCACCGCCACCCACCTCCACACACCGTCCACCCATCCACCAAACAAAGCCCCTTGACATCGGCGACCGCTTCGGCCATGCCGACGCATTCCTGCGCTCTCAGCTCGGGTCCTGCCCCTCTCCCAGCGTCGACTTCGCGCGCAACATTCATGATTTCTGCTCGTCCAAAGTTTTTGCAGCGCCAACTGCCTCGGCCTCGCTCACCTCAATCATCTTCTTCGTCCATAAAGCGGATTTATGGTCGATGAAACTCTCGTCGCCTCGCTTCTCTCCTTCCGCTTTGGTGGACCTGCGCGTTCTATCGAAGTTCAACGCCTCTCCACCGCTGCGTTCAATGTACCGGTCGCCTCCCACCACGTTGCCATGCTCATGGCGGCCTGCTCCCCGATTGTGGCGCCTCGCATGTTCGCCACCATCACCGTGGCGCCTCATGCCTAGCCGGCCATGTTGGCGGCGCGGCCATCCTCGCCGCTACATGATGCGCTGGCGCCTCCTCGCGTCGTCGTCGACGACTAGCACGCTCCTCTCCGTGCATGGCCTCCATGCAGGTGGGTCATTCTCTCGCCAACGGTCAGCTGCCTGCTGGACCTACTGCAACTCCCGCAACTAGCTCCACTCTGCGATCGCATGCAAAGGTACGACCGTTCCGGCCTGGCATTTCGTTCAATAAGCTGATTTTTTCTAAGTACCACTGCCTTGTCACCACTCCTACCACATGCCTAACACACCAACCAAATACTCCTATCTGGATCGTGTTCTCTTCTAAGTCAGTTTGCGCTAACGAAACTCTGATTAATAATGCTCTAGATCACCAGTTTTCGTTCCAACAGGTTTTCCATGCGATCACGCTCGCTCCGAACTTGTTTTTAGTGCATGTGTACTCGGTCAAGGTCAGATCTGAGGTCCTCCGTTGCGCGCCCATCCTTTTTTCAAATTTTGAACTTCAACTATTTGACTCATTTGACCAAGCATCTCAAATAGTGCGATCGGTACCATTGCCTGTAGTGTTTGAACCGGACTCAATCGATCCATTCGCACCCATCCTGCCCACTCACCGCACGTCCTTGCTTGGACCACACCCGTCAACTAAAAAACTACCGCAAGATCTCTCTCACCTGCACACCAAGATACAACACATTGTTTCATGCGTGGATTCCACTGCTGCTGCCTCGGTTGACCGGAACGCAATCGATGGCCTGGGACACGTGTGCCGCTCATCTGGTTCGGCCTCCCGCCAAGTCTCCTCGCATCCTTTCTCCAGAGAAAAAACAAGACGGTGTAGACGACCGCACCGTACACCCCCTCGACCAGCCTAGTTCGTTAAACAATCCAACCATAGACCACCCGACCTCACGCGACCCATCACATGCCACTGACGCATCCGGCCCACCTGCGTCGCCACAGCCGCCCCCCGGTCGGCCGCTCGGCCTGCTCGATCCCCCGGGTTCCAACGCGCACCCCATATCTTACCTAACAGCCACTGATTCACGGGTCCCACAATCGCATCCCCGCTCGTCCTCACCGCATGACAAAACCAACGCATGCATGCGCACGCATGCGACCATCATCACGTCTACTCCACCACCTGCCTCCCCTACCTCCGTCAGCCTACTCTCCGCCCAGTCCCCTCAGCTCCATCCCGAGATCGCCATTACCCAGTGCCACGCCCCTGCCACCGCTGCCAGTCCGCTAAGCTCTTCGATCTCCACGCCGCTGCAAGACCCGCGCAGCTACCGGGAGGTTTTGCTCTGCTCCCCGCCTCGGGCCCCTGCATCCCCTCTCCCCCATCCATCGCCATCTCCAGCCTATAAATCGCCTCCTTCCCAGATGGTCCGCCTCAAACACTTCCACCACCACTACAGCCGCAAGAAGAAGACTAGGTGTTTTCGGTGCCTTGCTAGCGACCACACCATCGCAGACTGCCGCGACCCCGTCCGGTGCTCTCGCTGCTGGTGCTCCGGCCACCGGAGCTACAGGTGCAAGGCCATCCGCTTCCTCCCGTTCTTCCCTCCTATGCCCCCTTCACCGCGTATTAACCCTGCTTTTGTGCGACCACCATGCAGCTCTATGGCACACACGACGGGCACCCACACCGCCTCCGGCTCGTCGGCCGGCTCCACGTGCTCCGATGGCGCACCAATCTGGTTCGGCTCCCACTGCGTCCTCACCAACGATCTGCCGCCATTCCGTCTCCCGCTCATCTTCGGACCGCGCACCTCCTCATCCTCCCCCCGACGCCGTCCTTCGCTCCACCCTCACCCCCTTCCCCAGCCACCATTCCCACCGCAACATCATGCTTCCCTCCACCGGCACCACACATCCCTTTCCTTGTCCCTCCAAGCTGCCTAGTCCTCCAGGTGGACAACCTTGCCTACGTACACCTTGCCACTCCTATGCCTAACCCATTTAGGTTCATCCGCCAGGCCCTCGCTCAACACCGCAACAATCCCACGTTCGGCCTCACTTCCTCCGCACGTGGCGCCAGCCGTCTCTCCTTTGCCAACGCAGACGAGCGCCTCGCGGTCACTGGCCATGGGCCGATCCACCACCAGGGCAATACCCTGTTCTTCGAAAGGCCTGAACACGCTGACAATAGATCTACGGCCATCTTCGTTCACATGGCTGAGATCGAGGCTTTCGATTATCCCGATGAGCTCTGGCACCCGGAGGGGGCAGACTACTTCTTCTCCCACCTTGGTGACTTTGTCTCTGCCGACCAACACTGCTTCCAGGGTGACCACTCTAGCGTTCGCGCGCTCGTCATGGTTGCCCGCGATTTTGTCCTCCCTCCATGCCTCACGGTGCGTCTCCCCGACAACGACATCGTCGTTGTCAAGCTGGAGAGCCGCGCGCTCTTCCGTCACGGCTCCGGAGCATCGCCCTTCAGCTCTGAGGACGGGGACGATGGCTCCCTATCCTTCCTCTCATCAAACCCTCGCCTCTCTCCCTCCCCTGTTACTCAAATCAGGAACATTGCCATGGCCATGTCACCATTTGCATGCACCCCGGAGTCGCCCTTGGGCCCTCCCCCATCTCCCACTACTGACAGGCCGCTCGACGGCATCCCAATCCTCGCAGTCATGGCTGACGGCATGCCCGTTGCCATGCTTGTGCATGCCCCATGGACCCCTCCCGCTCGCTCCCCCTCTCCACAAAAGCTGCACGCTCGCTCGCGCCATGCACGCCCCCTGCTTGCACTGCCAGCCCCACCATCTCCACTTCCTCTGCCACCTACGCCGCCGCCTCCACCATCCCCACCTGCCCTTCAGCCGCTCCCCCTTCCTGTGGATCTCTCCGCCCAGCCACTGGACCTGCCCCCAGAGCCTACGCACGAGTGCCTTGCCAGGCGCATCAGCAGGCGCGCCAAGATGGCTGCTGACTCCGGCATCAAGGCTAGACGCAGCGCTAGGCTGGCTGAAATAGAGCCGCCTATCTACTCCTCCATGACCTCCAAGGCCATGCGCTCCAAGGCAAAGAAGCTCGACCTATCTGCTACTTCCAAGGACCTCTCTGACGCCCTGATCCACGCTCGGCTCTGCGACAACTCTGGGCTCATCGACGGCTCTGCGCACGGTCCTGCCTCGCCTGAGGACCTGGCCGCCGTCGCTGCTGCCTGCGGCGCCACGCCGGAGATGCTGGCGGACCTCGCTTACGGTTCTGGTGGCCAGGGATCGCCATGATGTGCTCTCTTCTCCGCGGCCACGTGTGTGGCGGCCATGTCTGGCCATGTATCCAGGGCCTCGCTCCGACCTGTAGTCGTTGTGTTAGGTTTAATCTACTTGTAATGGTGCTCATGCCTGCTTCTGTCAGTGTGCCGTACTGTACCTTGACCCGAAATGGTTGCTTGTTGGGTCAATACCCCTATGTAAGGTGTCAACTTAAGTTTCCATTATGAAAAACGCTACCTACTCTATCGTGTCCTGGAACGTTCGCGGTCTAGGAGATAATGATAAGTGCTCCAATGTGTTCTCTGAAATCAATCTCCTACGCCCATCCATTGCCCTTCTTCAAGAAACCAAATTACAAAAACCAGACACAATCAAACTACGATCGATCTTGCCGCGCTTCCTAGACTCTAATAACCACCTCGACGCAATCGGAACGGCGGGTGGCATTCTCTCGGCTTCTAACTCACGTTGCTTCTCGCTTCTCAACTGCCAACACAGGCGTTTCACATCCACATTAACGCTATCATGTCTCGCATCGCCACATAATATCTTCATCACTAATGTCTACGCCCCCTCGCAACGAGAGCTAAAACTAGTCTTCCTTGACGAACTGAAACAAATCGAACCACCACCTCAATCTCCTTGGCTCCTAATAGGTGATTTCAACCTGACTCGATTCCCCAATGAACGCAACAACGACAACTTTAGACGATCGGAGGCTGATGCCTTTAACGACACCATCGACCAACTTGCTCTCTTAGAGCTCCCGCTCCTTGATAGAGAATTTACCTGGTCAAATAAAAGACTATCCCCCACGCTGATTCGCCTAGATAGGGTACTGATCAATCTATCTTGGGATACTCTTTTCCCTAACTCACACCTCACCTCCCTAACTCGATTTGTCTCTGATCATGTTCCACTCCTCGTCACCGTATCCACATCCGTCCCATCTTCCCGCCTTTTTCGATTTGAACGATTTTGGACCTCCTTCCCAGCCTGTTCTAACATTGTGCGCGGCTGCTGGCAGCCCGGCCCACAGCGCCACGGTGGGCGTTTCATTGATCCGGCGGCTTCGCTCGCTCAAAAAATTAAAGGTACAAGATCGGCCCTAAAGTCTTGGGCCAAGTCGCTGCGGCCCATCTATCAACGAGAAACAAATTGCAAACTCGCTCTCCAGGCCCTTGACCTAAACGAGGAATTCGCTCCTCTCTTCCCGATCGAACAAAAACTGAGGCTCACGCTCTTCAACTTGCTACAACATACCATCAAACAAAAAATCGCCTTCTGGAAACAGAGGGGAAAGATCAGGGTCGCCATTGACGGTGACGAAAACACTCGATTCTTCCACGCCTCGGCTACGCAGCGCTCTCGATCAAACAAGATTCCCATGCTTTTACACAACACTTCCGAAGTTTTTCTGCACGAACAAAAAGCTGACATCTTAAAGGACTTCTTCCAACAGCTCATCGGGACCTCAAAAAATGCAACATGGAACTTCAGCTTGCAACTGTACCCCTCACCCCTCCCCCAGCTCAGTGATCTTGCACAACCTTTCTCTAATGACGAAATATACCAAGCCTTCCTCTCTATGAACACCAATGCTAGCCCTGGACCAGATGGCTTTGGACCCATCTTCTTCAGAAAATATTGGAATGATATCAAACAACCCATCCTAACCTTCTTCACTGCCTTCCATGACCAAACCGCTTCTTTAGAACGATTCAACCGGGCCTACATGGTCCTTCTTCCAAAATCTCAGGCACCAACAACCCCAGACGCGTTTAGACCCATATCTCTTCAAAACTGCATGCCAAAAGCAGTTGCCAAAGTCCTCACCAATAGAGTTAAACTTCTCATCCCACTGCTCATACATTATGACCAGACTGGCTTCCTTCATGGACGTAACATTGCTGAAAACTTTATATACGCTGCCGATATCCTCAGTGCATGCCACTCCCGTAAAGCCCCGACCATGATCTTCAAGCTCGATTTCAGGAAAGCTTTTGACTCCATATGCTGGTCCTCCCTCATACAAATCTTACAAGCCCGCGGTTTTCCCTCTGACTTCTGTTCTTGGGTACAAAATATCCTTCTCACTGGGAAAACAGCTATCCTTTTAAATGGCGTTCCAGGATCCTGGATTCAATGTAGATGTGGCCTCCGCCAAGGTGATCCATTCTCGCCATACTTATTCATCATCGTTGCCGACGTCCTTCAACGTCTAATCGCAAAAGCGTTCCAAACCAACGTTCTTTGTCACCCGTTACGGCCTAACGAACCACCTGTGACACTTCAATACGCTGACGATACACTGATAATTGCTGCGGCTAGCGACGCCGCCACCATTATCCTCAAAAACACCCTTCATGACTTCGCCCTTGCAACGGGGCTAGTCATCAACTTCCAAAAAACGGCTCTTCTCACCATAGCCACTGACTCTTCCACGCAAAACAGCATTGCCATAGCGATTGGTTGTTCCTTATCCTCCTTCCCGCTAGTGTATCTAGGTCTACCACTCTCCCCCACCAAACTGCCTCTCACAGCTTTCGACCCAATCATAGACAGCTTTCGAAAATTCCTCTTCGGTTGGGTGGCCCGCCTGCTCTCTCGGGGGGCACGTCTCACCCTGCTAACTGCGGTTCTTGACTCCTTAACAGTTTATTTTATGTCCGTCTTTCACCTACCAAAATCGATCATAGCCAAACTAGACGCCATCCGAAGGGCGTTCTTCTGGTCTAACGAGCCAACCTGCACTGGGGCGAGCTGCTTGGTCGTGTGGAAAAACGTTTGCAAACCTAAAGATACTGATGGTCTAGGCATTAAAAATCTGGAAGTTCAAAACCGCTGCTTGCTTATGAAATTCTCCTCCAAAATTCTACAACACCCAAACATCCCCTGGACCCAATGGTACCACCACCAATACCCTCTTGGCATTGCAGCAAAAACCTCAAAACCCTCCTTCCTCTGGAAGATCATCAACAACAACTTGCCACTTCTAATTGAGCACTCATTTGTGCTCACATACAATGGCCTATCCACTTTCTTTTGGCTTGATAAATGGTTACTGCAGTCTCCCCTCCAAAACGTCTTCCCAAACCTCTTCTCATACTCCATTGATGACAAGGTTTTAGTGGCTACTGTTTGGCAAACCAGCTTGTTGGCAAACCTACGGAACCGTCTGTCTAATGCTGCTGCTCGCGAGTTGGATTGTGTGCTGTTGTTGTTGCAGGATTTCCAGCAAACGGACCAACCTGACGAAAGATCCCTCACCCACGGACTACCGTTCTCTGCCAAGAACGCCTACTCCTCCATTACTGCTGAAGATGATACAGACCCTCACCACGACTTTGTCTGGTCTTCCAAAGTCCCGATCAAAGTCAAGATCTTCGCATGGCTCCTCCTCCGTGACCGGCTCAACACGAAGGCAAACATGTTCCACAAACACATTGCCCAATCTGTCCGCGCTGTCAAGACCCTCATGAAGATGCACTCCACCTCATCTCCAACTGTTCTTACGCTACACAGGTCTGGTCCTCCCTGGGCCTGCCGGCCCCGACCTCCCTTGCTGCTCTGCTCCAACACCCAACGCTTCATGGCCTCAACCCCAATATCTGGCCTTCGGTGGTTCGGACTATCTCTTGGAAGCTATGGGATTCCAGAAACGCGCTCGTCTTCAGGAATGACGATCATACACACAGAACCACCATACGGAACATTGTTGCTGACTTCTCTCTATGGGTTTTTCGGTTCAAAAAGAAAGAAGATAATATCTCCGCTAGACAATGGCTTCACTTCCTCTCTTCAGCTGTACCCTAATGATCATGTTGTAACAAAACTACTATTGTAATTCTCGACTCCTCCTTTTGAGTGGTAATATATTCAGGTGGGGAAGCTCTCCCCCCCGGTGACCGTTCAAAAAAAATTATCAACAATGAAACCACTATGAAGTATGAACAGGTATAAATTTGTGCATATGTGAAATAGAGTTGGAATACTAGATGAGCATAGTCTTAGGTACCAGTACAGAGACAGACCCAAACGTTTAAAGCTTCTTCACTAACAAACAGTCCAAATCCAGCAGCCATGAGCAACCAGAAGTAGACCCACCTAAAAAAAAAATAGGAAACTCAATATATTTACAGAAGTTTCAATAACGAATTATTTAGTTGTCAAATAATTTTGCAGTGATAAATGTCATGTTCTTGAAACCTTGCAAGGGTGAAGGAGGGAAACAAAGCTAGGTTGTATAAACAATTCTAAATTTTGCAATGATAAAAAGGGAATGATGCTTGGAGGTTACAGAGTCATCTCAAAAGCTATTTCTATAGATCAATCATGAACCATTGTGCGTAGTGTTCAATTCAGTCACCGTCCATGAAGGAATAGATTTGACACCTCACAAACTGAAAGTGGTTCATGAATACGTTTCAACAATAAATATTTTTACTTCAGCATCTATTTGCTCCTAGAATAAGAACACAATATTTAGCATCAAGGAAACAAAAAGATGGTCAAATACACATACCCTGGTGTATATTCCGGAATGATGACCTTCTTCCCGAACTGAGAAAATGTATATCCGACAGTATCTGACTGCGCAGAAGCATCAATAATCTGTGGCAGGCTGAAAGAAGGACCAGATGAAGGTTGCTTCATGAAGATGGATATCGCGGTGACCGTAGCCGCAACACCCAGTGCAACTGCCACTTTTGCAAGCAAGGAAGCGCCAGCATTGCTGCTAGGTTCGACTTCCACCGCATCGATGATCTCACTTGCATCGTCGACACCAGCAGAAGGTTCTGCCCCAGACAGCGCCTGCGCAGTCCATGGACCCAAACGGGACGCCCTGCGCAAACTGTTTATGTTTGCAGGAAAGAAGTTTCAGACATCTTAACCCACCAGTTTTCCCCAAAGCACACCCTTCTGTAAGAAAACTGAGCCCTAAATCTATAAAAGATGACTGCAGAAAACCTATAGATTGTTAAATTCAGTGAGGAACATATGAGACTTGACTTGGGAACATCTAATCTAATCTACAGAGGCTACAGCGATGAGTCGGCTATTGGTAAGAAAGCGTCGTTTCTTCTAGCAGAGGTTGCTCCAAATTCGTCCAGGCGGCAGAAATGTTAGGCCGCCTGCAACAAACGCCTACTGAGAAAAACGCCACCCTCGAACCCCGATCCTACTATCAGAGGGAGGGAGCTCCAGGAGGAGGAGGAGAACCCGACCTCGTAACGCGACTGCGAGCCGCGGCGGACCGGCGGGGACCGGCGGAGAAGGTGGCGCGGCGGCGGGGGAGTCGAGGAGGAGGCGGTGGCGGAAGGCAGCCCAAGCGCGCGTGGACCGTCGCCATGAGCCTGGGAGGATGCGGCGGCGGTGGCGGCGTCGCGCGTGTCAGGACCAGGCTATCGGCGTATGTTTTGTGTGGCGCCAAAGCAGGTTGGTCGCTGGAGGATGATGATGCGTGCAAATGGCGTATGCCATGAAACTTTCAAGTCTACAGTATAATTTTCTTCTCTTAGGGCCTGTTCGGATTAGAGGAATAGAAAACATAGGTTTAGAACAACGGACACCCAAACGTGTGGCATGTTTGCACTTCGCTCACACGCATTGATACATATTGTTTTTTTGCACGAATCCCCTTGTTAGAGTCTGAAGCAAAATGGAGCTCTCCCGTGCGTTTAGATTCTGGGCCGTTGGATCGGTTTCGTGATTGCGTTCTGGCCGTTGGATCTCGGGCTCGGTCGTCTCCAGTCGTCGGATGTTTACTCGGTCGTCTCTAGCCGTCGGATATTTTCCCTACAGCCGTGTCCCGCCCGGCCGTGCCACCGCGCGTAATTACGCTGCCCCGCCAAAGGCATTCTCGTCATTTCACTTGGCTGGGAAAAGATCTGTAGCGCAGGCAGAGGCGAGACCGTAGAGCCGTCGTTCCCCTCCCCTTCCAGCCCGCTCGCCTCCTTCTCCCCCTCCCGCGCCCGCCTCTCTCTCTCTCTCCCTCCCGCGCCCGCCTCTCTCCCTCTCCCTCCCGCGCCCCTCCCTGCCCCGCCGCCGCTCCCCGCACTCGCTCCTCCTCCCACGCAGCCGCCTCTCTCCCTCGCTCGCTCCTCATCTGGCGACAGCGGCGGCGGCGGCGGCTCCCGCGCCCGCATTCTTCCTCCTACCAACCACGGCGCTCCTCCCCATCGCCATGGACGAGCTTGAGCTCCAGGTGCTCCTTCTCTGCCCAGAAGCCCAAGGGCGTTGCGGGGCGGCAAGGGGCTCAGCCTCAACCCGCCAACCCTAGCTGCCCCCACGCTGCCGTCGGCTCCTTCTCCCGGCCTGCCGGATCCCGTCGTCCGCATCCCCGGCGTCGTCGCCGTCGCCGTCGTCCTCGCGTGCACTCGGCAGGAGAAGTGCGGCTCTCCTCTTAGCCCGTCTCAGTTCTCTCTTGCTCTCTCAGTCCCCTTTCTGCCGGGTTCTTGCCACTGATGCGCCACCTCCTGGTTCATCATGAAGGTATTGCATGATAGGTGCTCGATAAATTGTGAGGGCGGGCTAATGAGTAGTTTCTTAATGGTTGGGCCTGCGATGGCATCGATTAAGTCTGTGTTGACAAGACCAGCTGGGTTTGCGATGACTAGGTTGTTAGCACAGTCTCCTGGATGCAATGCTCCTCTTGTTTCTTCTTATCTTACCAATGGATTTGTTTGGGCTAAGAAAATGCACTCTCTCTGGATCTGTGATGCCACCACTTTCTGCTATCAAGTAGTGGTTCTTACATGTTTTCCGTATGTCAAATTGTGCCATATGTGACCTTTTGCTTCACCGTAGTATTAATTAATGTAAGATGCAGATTTTTAGAAATATCAATGATTGTGTGATGCTTAATTAGGCCTGAAACATTTATCTTGCCAAATTTCTGTGCATATGGCGACCTCTCCGACCTTTTCTACTAGGAGATGATGCTGGTTCTGAAATTATGATCATATATTTATGAAGTTCTTTTTTTTCTTGAGCGCGTGTTCTTTTTATTTTGCCATATGTGACCTTTTGCTTCATCGTAGTATTAATTAATGTAAGATGCAGATTTTTAGAAATATCAAGGATTGTGTGATGCTTAATTAGGCATGAAACATTTATCTTGCCAAATTTCTGTGCATATGGGGACCTCTCCGACCTTTTCTACTAGGAGACTATGCTGGTTCTGAAATTATGATCATATATTTATGAAGTTCTTTTTTTCTTGAACTCGTGTTCTTTTTATTTTGTCGATCAGGTACTTCATGGCAGCGCTGTGGACAGCATCACCGTAACCACATTGATGGTCCAAGTCCTAGCTCACAACATCACTTTTTAGTTCTGCTGTGAGCACCTCAACAGCTCAACGTCAGCTATTATTGATGTAGCTGCATATAGTCATTCTATGATCTATTTTGGCTACCATCATTTTTAGGTGGGCCGTGAGCACCTCAACCACTCAGTATGATCTATACCATGATTTATGAAACGAGTTGTTTATGTTAATCTTTGCTTGTGCTTCTTATTACATAGTGATAAAATGTCTTCTATTTATGTACTCTTCCTCACAATCCCAGTTATCCATGTTTATGTACATGTCTTCTGTCTCTGATCTGCAGGTTGTTATGCTGGTTTTCTCTAAGCTTGAAATATACGTAGCCTATATATCTACAAAAAGGGATCAAGAACTATATGTGGGCTACTCATTATAGTCGCTGTCGATATTAACTCTTTTGCATGTTTGCATCTGAATCAATCATCTGCTCTCTACTAAATGTATGTGAGCTACTCATTTGGTTATATATGAGCTACTCATTTGGTTATACTGTGTAAATAGGAATCAATAATAAAAGTAGATGGTACAAAGTTGTGCCCCTAGCTTTTTTCCCATTGGTCTTGCTAAGCAAGTTAATGTATATCTTCATTTATATAGCATCTCTACCGTTCCAATATGTTTAGCTATATATGTTCACTTGGTCCCTTAGTTACTTCCTCGGCCCTCTTGGCTGCCACCGAATAGATTTTTATATTTTTGTATATCTTGCTCAGCGTCCTATGCTCCATATACGCTTTCCTATATATTTATAAATTTTCATCTGCATTAAAGTGATACATATATGTGATGATTTCTGACTTGACTTATGCTAGGATTAATCCTGCAGCAATCGGTATAGTCAGTGTTGTCTGGATGTGTTGTACCATATTAGATTATGTGTTCTGCCCAGCAGGGATTATTTATCGATGCTTCTTGGTGTATCTAGAGAGTCTGATTAGAGAGAAGTCAGTTCACATCTCAGTGGCTTTTGTTGTTTAATTTACACAACATATGCAGGTTCATATAGCAGTATGCATGTGTGAATATAAACTCTTCATGCAATGTGGCAGTAAAAGGCCTTTCGATTTTACCTTAGGCACTACAGGCAGCTAATAGATAGGCCCATTGCTTGCATGATGATAAGTTTTGAACTGACGGTGTTCTTGACAATAGTTGCATCAGTGCACACGAGGTCCAAAGAAGCATTGTTTCATGTTTCATTTACTTTTCTATTGCAATCACTCATCCAAAAAGAATATTCAGTGCACCTGTAAAACATCTAACAAAAATAATCATAGACCCTTCTTTCTAAATCAGAATATAACAGTACTAAATCAGCTAGATGGGTTGTAGATGCTTTGTTACTCAATGATAGGAAAAAATGTTAGCTGCGCTCTTGACCTACCTACCAGCTACTGACCGCCCTATCCATTTCCCTCTCCAAGTTAATATACTTTCTTTGTTGGCCCAAGACACAAAGCAAGTTCTGCGTTTGTTGTGTTCATTCGTTCCTGATCAACGATTTTCTTTTCCAGATGACCCATTTGGTTTCCGCTCCGTTACTTTCTACTTTGCTGATAGAAATTGAAGGATCTGCGTGTTTGTAATCTTAGAACTTTCGGTCATTTTAGAACTTTCGGTCATTTGTAATCTCTCCATGGCGCTTGCCGCTCTGACAGCGATTTTGAAACAATTATTACCTGATAAAAGATGAAAGTAGAATGCTTATGTTATTTAATTTTGTCCGTTCATGCTTATCCTTTTGGGTACTTCTGAAGGAACTTTTGGGTTGTTTCCTACCCACTAATATTATTTATCAGAAAATTCTTTATTGAAATCTTGAATAAGGGAACTATAATAATGCAGATAAATAAGATTTTTTTTCTTATTTTACAAACAGGTGCATGTTATGATTATTGTGTTGGGGTGCAAGGCGCAACTCCGACGTGGTTCCTCACCGGTTGGACGGCGTTCAGGCGCAACCCCGGCGCCCACTGAGTACTGCCTCGGCTACAACCTCCCCCGGTGAGATCCATCTTCCTCCTGCTCCTCTGCTTCGGCAACTGCATGGGACATGGCCGTGGCTATATTGATGTTGTGCTCTTCTCATTGATGCTCTATGGCCTACTCATGCATCGGTTCCTACTCGGGCTCTGTAGTTGTCGATCCATGCTATTATAGGGTTTGCAGGTTGCTATTAGTGATCAGTTGCTATCATAGGAGCTCCTGTGATGCTCTGGTTTACATGTGGATGCCCTGGTCCTATAGCTGTGCTCCTGGATTTGCTTGATTGATCAGTGGCGTTCGTGCTAGGGCGATGATGATTAACCGTGGCTGAAATAAGTGTGCCTTTGAGCGATCGAGGTACCTGTCGGTATCAAGTTGGATCCTCCCTCTTGTCTCTAGAATCCTTTTTGATATTGTGATACTTGTTGTTCTGTCCTTGGATGGTCATTCTTGTTGAGTGATAACCAGGACAGATCCACTGTATCCCATCCCCTTGTTAGAGTCTGAAGCAAAATGGAGCTCTCCCGTTCGTTTGGATTCTCGACCGTTCGATTGTCTGTCCAAACGAATCCCGGCCATCCGATCTTCAGATGAAACAATCTGGACCGTTGGATCTCAGACAGGGCCGGTCTCGTCCGTCGGGTCGAAAACGAGACCGCTGCAATGCCCTGGTCGCGCCACCGCGCGTGAATAGCATGCCCCGCCGATGTCGTTCTTGTCATTTCATCCATAGGCGTATAAAACCAGCACGCCCATGGTGACCCTAGCTGCCTCTCTCTTCCTCCCGCCCCTCACGCCACCACCCTACCTCCTGTTCATGCTCAGTTGCTATCATAGGAGCTCCTGTGATGCTCTGGTTTACATGTGGATGCCCTGGTCGTATAGCTATGCTCCTGGATTTGCTAGATCGATTAGTGGCGTTCGTGCTAGGGCGATGCTGATTAACCGTGGCTGAAATAGGTGTGCCTTTAAGCAATCGAGGCACCTGTGGGTATCAAGTTGGATCCTCCCTCTTGTCTCTAGACTCCTTTTTG